GTTGCATGTGTTCGCAAGGAATCGGGAGAGCAGAGAAGAACGGTGGCTTCTTTGGATCACAGGGGGTCGATTGACGTTGCTAACTGAGTGAACTCAGTTATTGATTGACGTTGCCAGAGCCAATCAGAAATCGAGTTGCTGGTGGAGAACGCACAGTCTAAGTGTGCTTCTGGTCATGAGTTTCCCGCAGCACTTATGGAAGCAGAGATTACATGAAGAAGATTAATTCAGCAACCGTCCACGTGTAGTTGTCCATATTGTTCTTAAATCGTGCAAATATTTGCAATGGCCGTGCGAATAGCCACGATTAGGGAATCGCTGGTAAGTGGAGGATTTCGCAGCTGAATGACGACAAGTTCTGTAGCACCCATCGGAGACATGAACACACTCACGCAAACACACGTCTGCTGAGATGCCGCGTGGTGGATGGGCGGGGACTTGGGGGCACTAGCGTCGAACATCAAACGATTTTGGCGGCTGCAGGAGGCACACTGGGGGCTTACGAAATCCGGCCAACATTGTAACAACGTGTGTAATCAAGACCTAAAAAACCACACACTCACAAGCACGCACGCGGCATCAAAGTGGGCTTAAAACACGGAGCCTCAATTGCCTTGCCTCCATTATCAGCGGCAATCGAGTACAATCGAGCATCGATTATTCTGATCTAACGGTTACCGCACAAGCGTAGGTGATAGTCTGTCGTTTATCGGAATTATTTTTTACATTGGTAGCGAAAATATCGGCAGTAGTCATCTTACATATAAAAGAACTACACATGCTCAGGTTTCGTGCGACCACTTCTAGGTTTAAATGATGGTCCCTTTAATTAGAAATATTTACGCTACACTGGCGGCACAACCAGGACAATTTCGAAAAGTGAGTCATTCGTGAGGCCTGCAGGTTATAAATGTTAAAAATAGAAGAAATCCCCCTTAATGGACACCACCAGAAGCAACCTAACGCTGATTCTGTGTTTTACTGCACCAAATACACGCATGAATCAGGCGAAATATTGATTAATCGATAATGCAGAGCATTGGTTTGAACTCTTGACCTTCAATTACGACGATAGCAATTTAAACAAATCTGTTTTCAAAAAGACGTCCTTTTAACAGGGGTTGTTTTTAATTAGGGATTCCAGTGGTTATTTGTTTATTGAAAATATTTGTTTTTCTTGTTGTATATCAAAGCAAGACAGCCACCTCTTAAGCCAGCGAGGACCGATGTAAACTTGATTAGTGGGAATTTGTTTTGTTCAATCACTGGCACTGCCGCGTAGCTTGAAGGGAAGAAAATTGCACTTACCACTGAAATCCGAATCGGCTTTGATGTTACCTCGGAGACTTGAGTAAGCACCAGAGACTTGAGGATAAAACGCGAGTGTTTCCTGTTTTTCATAAATCCCACCCCTAGGACTTACAACCTGCCCTCTTCAAAGATTCAGACGGCTCTTTGAACAGGAAGCCAACGGATTGAAAGGAGTTGTTATGTTGTGGTGGTAGCGATTGGGTCAAGATAACATGAAGTTTGTCTGCAAGCCATTGTGTGGCTTAACATTACTTATTCAATTGTTTTTAATTAACAAGCCCCGCCGACTAGGTTTACAGGCCATTTAAGTGTCAACAAAATGGAGCTTTGTGGTTTTCACGTGCCTTTCCCTAAAGGACGTCGTGTTAAGATGAAATCCAATTGGCCAATGGAAGTAAATCACGATTATACAGTGAGTAAACACGAAGTGTACAACACTTGTCGAATTTCAATCATATAAGGTAACATAATAGGATCGATAATAGGAATATGTTTCACCTTTCCCAGAACCTAAATTAATAAACATGTTCATTTGCCCAGTTGAATGAGCAATTATTGATTTTAGGTGTTGGTGATTCCCCCTGATGTTGAGAGGTTGACACTGATTGGACCGCTATCAAATAAATTAACGTTTTTTTAAAACTAAACCAAACATCTGGTTTGTTTAACTCTGCAGTAATATGACCTCCAAATTCAAATAATCGGGAGAATTGAACCGTCAAATTGTACAAAATGTGAAGGAGTGATCACTTTGGGTATTTGAAACCTACCAAGGGAAGAGATTTTACCAAAACCCAACGTTTCTCGCCAGAACAGAATGAATGAAGCTGACTGCGAAATAATCCAGACACTTCTCCATCAAACGTTGGCATAGTCCAGCCTTGAATGGCTAATAAACCGATAATTATCGATTTTTTCAAACTCGTTAAATAGACATTTAGTTGGAGAAAATTTTCTTGCTTTTATAGCTTGAATCTAGTAAAAATTTTCGCTGCGAGATACCCGTCCCCCTCGCGAAAAAACCCACTGCAAGTTGCCAGGATAAATTGTAGCCCAATTTCCAACGAAACATTAAACATGGATTATGATTGTGCGTCGGCGCGTCGAGTGCCTTCTTGTTTAAAAAGTGATGTGCCTCGCGAATGCCATGGTCTAAATCTGGGTCGAAGCGGACATTGTCCCAGAAGATGGATGATTCTTTGACGGGTCCGGCATTGTGGGATAATTACCGTGCTCGATGGCGCTATCCGTGTCATTGTCATTGATTGTGGACGTCATCAAACAGATTGTACGGGCAGCGTTTGACGTGATATGACTGACACCGTCACAAAGATATCTTTTAGTGATACAACTGTTCAGGTCTTTACCTGACCTTAAAACTGGCCAATAGGTGATAACTCCTCCAGAAAATTTTAACAATCAATAAAATCACACAAAATGAACAAGCTTGTACACGAAAACCGGCAGAATTAAGGTGGAACATCATCAGCGTCCTGAGGTCTACCACGAAATATCTTCATCTTCCTCATGGAACGCGGGGTAACGCGACGCTTGATTGGTTGAAAACGGCTTCTACGATACTAAGAGTGTGGAAGAGCCCACATTCAACAATTATTCCGTCCAGGAATGCTTGTTACTCACCTCTGTTTCGACACATTTTTTTTCTTTTAAATAAACAAAAAATCCTGTTCTCACTGTTCTCTCTTTAAACAAATTTGACAGTGACACTGAAATTAAAGGGCGTAGAGTGTGTTGTCATTTGCCACAAAGTTAAGAGACAGTCATCACCCAAACATGTGGTTGTCATGAGTTGAAGAGGAATCTAATCTTGTGATTCCCCTCTCGTTTAAATTTTTAACTTTTAGGGTCAGTTTAACTAATACTTTCAGGGAATTGCACTTGCTATGAATGCGAGAGCGAAGCGTATTGTTCTCTGACAGTGGTCAGTCAAGGTGGCTATCGATTTACTTTAAACGAACCAATCAAACACCACGTTGGATGTGCAGAGAAAAGTGCGCCTTTTAATTCATATGAGAGAATCAATAAACAATCGCTTTTAAATTGAATATACCCAATGGAATACAAGGACAAGTGTGGGAGTTTTTAAGTATTGGAAATGAAACTTCAATCACCGTAATCGGATTGGCTACTTGGAGGTGGCAAACATTGTGAGCAGTGGCTTAGTCATGTCTCTCAGTTTCCCTCCGACATATGAGTTATTCGTCACTAACTCGAAGTGATTCGTCAAACCCACTTAAGGAAACTTGATAGACAGGGTGGAGAATTAATGTGATTTGCTGTGCGGCTAAAAGCAGTGACTCAGACACCTTGCATTAAGAATTTGAGGACAAATTGTTGAGGCGCGATTCAAGGCGTAGCGATACAAAAGTAATTCTAAGTTTAAGCAAGTTTCTAGAACAGGCTTTTACAACTTAAACATGGACTGACACAATTACATAAAGTGTCGATCTAACACACTTCTCATTGGTCACTGTCATCCAATGGGATTTGCGTTTGCAGGGTCCATGCGGACATCATCAATGGAATGTACCGGCTGAAGTTGAAACGATCCACTGAGGCGTCGTTGAAGAGCGAGTTCCTCGGCAACAAGACCCTCATCAGACGGTATCGCCAACGTCGTGGAGGTGGTGGTGGTGGACAAAGGCGTCATCGCACGAACAAGTCAGACGACAACCCCGACGTTGCTGCCACGGCGTATGACATCGTGAAAGTCAGCGACGATGACGATGAGGATCTTGTTCCGCTACTCGAACCCCGCAAGTTCAGCTCTCTGCCCTCACCTTCCACTCACCATTCCACACGAAGCCATCGCAGAAGTGGCAGACACCAGCCCGGCGGCTATAATTCACCCTGCCGACTTGTCACCATGCTTGTTGTGTGAACTCTCATGTAGATATCATTATTTTTGTAAAATTGTCACATCTAACACTACCGCCACAACTACTACTTCCTCGAGATGTGTGTTTTAATGAGGTAGCAAGGTGATAGCCTGTGGACAGTCGAAGAAATCGATGTGGGATCGTCACCTTACGTGCATGAGTTTTGGTGCGTGGAGGCTAGAGGCTCTGTTAACCTTCAAAGTGAGTTCTGTTGAGGTGTTTCGCGAACCACGTGAGAAGGAGATGGAAGTTGCGGTGTTTGTAGTTGGCGGTGGGATCTGGATGGTTGAAGAGTGTTCGTACCCATACAACGACACGCGTGATGGTTGTGCTGGCGAAGCCCACTGTCATGAAGGAAGGGGAGGTGACCAAGTTGTGTGTAACTTGGGGGCAAGAAAGAGGTTTAAAGTGGTTGTGTTGGGTCGTCTGAGGATGTAGTGTTTGATGTCGGCGATTTTGTGGGAAAATGACCAGTCCTAGGACACATTGCAGAAGTAACGTGGATGGAACAAGGTTCCAGATGGTGGCGATCGGGTGAATGCAGATGTCTAGACAACCAACTCTCTGAAAGTGCGATTGATGGGATCTGACTGATGCAATAAGATAGTGAAATATGTGTCTAGTGGTAAATTTGCACAGAAGAATGCTTAAGCGAATGCATAGAGTTTAGACGGCTTAGGCTCTAGAATCCACTAATCCTTTGAGATATCTTCTTTAAGTAGGATCCGAATAACTCAACACTGGGAAAAGTTATGCAGAGAGCGTTATATCCTTATTTCGCCCAAATCAGTGACTTGCCCTACCTGCTAAGCTGATTGATGTGATCAAATCCTTTTCGTAAATTCACTTTGTTGACACGTTAAATCGCAGCAACATGCCAGTATACAAAAAGATTCCTCTTTACTAGCAGAGAGTGATTGTTAACCGCCGAGTTTTAAATCTTAACTAGTGTCATGGAAACGTATTTGTATTGGGACATTTGGACCAATTGGAATCCGGCGGGTATTTCGAATAGAATTGTAAACTCAAATCATATGTAGAGCGAAAATTAGAGCTATTTCGAGCTTTGAGCCACTCGATAACGTAAAATAGATGTCGAGGAATGGGTTGCAGCAGATTACGCTTTTTCTTGAAGTATCCATGGACACGGCCAATGAAATTGAGGTAGATGGGACCAGATTAATGGAATGAGATAGTGAAATAGCTGCCTAATTGTAAAGATATGAAGAAGACCGCTTGAACAAATTCATAGAGCTTAGACGGTTTAGACTCTAGAATCTATGAATCCTTTCAGATATCTTCTTTAAGTAGGATCCGTATGACTTAGAGAGCGTTTTATCCTTATTTCACCTGAATCAGGGACTTGCCTTAACTGATAAAATGAATGCTGTGATCAGATCCTTTTCGTAAATTCACTTTGTTGACATGTTAAATCGCAGCAACATGCAGTAACTTGCCCGTGCGGAAAGTGGTTGTTAACCGCCTAGTTGTAAAGCTTATCTAGTAGCATGGAAAGGTATTTGGATTGGAAAGTTTTGATCAATTAGAATCCGGCGGGTAATTCGAATAGGGTTAAAGCTCAAATCATGTTTTGCGCTACAACACGGCTAATCGCAAGTTCGTACGAAATATTACGCTGGCCAAGGCACAATATTTTTTACCGAACATTGTCGAAAAACTAGGCACCACACATAGTTTTACTTAGTTGCATTCCATTGTTAAAAATGATATTTTGTATATCAGTCAAGCTGTTTCAACTAAAGGCTGCATGGGGATGTGAAGTCACCGCTAATTGGCTGAGAATTTGTCCTACAATACGAGATTATTCCGATGCGTTCAGCTTACATGTTTATTGCTACAAACCCTCAGACTTAGAGCATCAAGCAGTAATGTTGAACAGCCCACATCATTTAATCTTCGAATTAAAATAGAATTTTTGACTCTAAGAGTGATTATCTACGGATTTTCCAGATTCGGCGGCTAGCTTACAATCTCTGTAGAGAAGGCATTTTCCAGATAGACAGCCGGGAAACACAGTCGCAAGCCCTAATCTGTAGTGCAGGTATTTACCTCAATTTCTCCATTACCAACCTCAGAGAACGCACTCACATTTCTAATTCAATTAATTCAATTCCACCGATATTTCTCTTTCCGTGTAAAACATTGCAACCTGGTTTCAAAGGGTCTCCAAACTCATGCTAACCCGGATGAAAGCCTTTTCATCGTTCGCCGACAGAGGGAAAGCGTCAAGTTTGGTCCGATAAGGCCATGTTCGACTGTTCTGATGCTGCCGCTGGTGTTTGATCCCGTGGGCATTTTTTAAACCTCCGACATGGAACAAGGCAAGTCGAAAACACGAAGGAGAGAATGAGAGCAGCAGTGTCGGCTTTGAACTAGTCGGCGTCCCGCAAAATCGGATTTAAAATTTTTCCGGGTATCTGCTTTGGTGCAATTTCACGCATCGTTCTGCAATTACTCTCATTCCTACAACCATTTTAGCCACTCCGGTTGTAA